CTTTCCCAATTTTCTACCTTCCTTCTAATCTTAGTTGCATTGGCTTTGTTTGTGCAAAAACTTTTCAATTTAATGTAATCAAAATTATCTATTTTGCTTTTTGTAATGTTCTCTGTCTCCTGTTTGGTCATGAATTCTTCTGTTCTCCATAGATCTAACAGGTAAACTATTCCTTGTTCTCCCAGTTTGCTTATAGTATCAGCCTTTATATCTAAATCATGTACCAATTTTGACTTTATTTTGGTATATGGTATGAGATTTTGGTCTATGCCTTGTTTCTGCCATACTCTTTTCCAGTTTTCCCAGCAGTTTTTTTCAAAGAGTGGGTTCTTATCCCAGAAGCTGGGGTCTTTGGGTTTATCAAATAATAGATTACTACAGTCATTCCTATTCCACTGATTCACCACTCTATTTCTTAGCCAATACCAAGCAGTTTTGATGATTGCTGCTTTATAGTACAATTTAAGATCTGGAATGTCTAGGACACCTTCCCCTTCATTTCTTTTCATTAGTAATCTTGATATTCTGGACCTTTTGTTCTTCCAAATGAATCTTGTTATTATTTTTTCTAACTCTATAAAATAATGTTTTGGTATTTTGATTGGTATGGCACCGAATTTAAGTAAATTAGCTTGGGTAGAATTGTCATTTTATTAAATTAGCTCGGCCTACCCATGAGCAACTGATGTTTTTCCAATTATTTAGATCTGACTTTATCTGTGTGAAAAGTGTTTTGTAATTGTGTTCATAGAGTTCCTGGGTTTGTTTCAGGAGGTAGACTCCTAAATATTTTATATTGTCTACAGTAAGTTTAAATGGAGTTTCTCTTTCTATCTCTTGCTGTTGGACTTTGTTGGTAATATATAGAAATGCTGATGATTTATGTGGGTAGGAATTCAAATTTTAAAAAATGAATATTTAAAATAAATAAATTTATTTTGAAAAAAAATTTTTTTAATTGAAATGAAGTTAGTTTGGTACGACCTGTTGATAAAGCTAGGCTGGCTCTTTGTAATCACCAATTCCCTTTCTAGGTATTCACCAATCATCCCTACAGTGATCCTTTTAGAATTTTCCCAGGAATCAAAGTTAAATTCACCACCCTATAGTCTGGAAATTCTATTCTCTTCCTTCTTTGGAAACTGGGACATTCGCCTTTCTCCAATCCTGTGACTCCTCTCCTATTTTCCATGATTTTTCAGATGTCACTGATGGTGGCTCAGCTGTCATGTTTGCCAATTCTTTCAGGAGCCAAAATGGTGGTTCATTTGAGCCGGGTGACTTGAATTCATCGAGGACAGCTCAGCATTCTCTTACTGTCTCCTTACTTTTCTTGGGTATCAACTATTAGTGATTTTTATTCTATCATTTCCAGTTTAAAAGCAATTCTCGGGGCAGGTAGGTGGTGCAGTGGAGAAAGCACTGGTCCTCAAGTCAGGAGGACTTGAGTTTAAATCTGGCCTGAGACCAAACACTTGACACTTACTAGCTGTGTGACCCTGGGCAAGTCACTTAACCCCAATTGCCTTAAAAAAAAAAAAGCAATTCTCCTTTTCAGAGAAAACATAAACAAGAGTTGAACAGCATTCCCTTCTTTGTATTGTTAGTTATCATCATCTACCCCAAGCAAAAGTTCCATCCCTTCTTTGGTTTTCCTTTTTCTCCCAATAGAGCTATAAATAAATAAATCAATGAATGAATGAATGAATGAAATTTGTTGTCTTTAGCTTTCCTGGCCAGCCTCAGCTCATTCTGAGCTTCAGCATTACAACATAATTTTCGTAATAGATTTTTATTGTTATCTTTATTTTCACATTGCCTCCATTTCCCTCTGTATGCCTTCTCCTCCCCCCTTCCAGGGAGGCATCTCTTATAATAATAATTTTTAAAAAATAAAGAAAAAGAAAACAAAAACAATTAGTAAAACTGGTCAATAAATGGGAAAAAAATCCTAGGTTATGGTGTTCACACTCCCTGGGGCATATTCCCTCCCTTTTACCACTAATCCCCAAACCACTGCAAACGAGCATGGGGAGGTGTCTGGACCCCTTAGTCAACACTCCAACATTTAGCATGGGGCCTGGCACATAGCAGGTGTTTAATAAATGCTTGTTGACTTGACACTACTTTAAAAGACTGTTCCATGATTTTATATTCACCCAATTGGCCTTGATATTCCACCTTCTACACATTTCTTTTTAAAAATCACATTATTTTCTTCTGACAAAACCCATTTTTTCTCTTCACTGGAATTTTCCCTTTGTGTCTTCTGAATTTAATTCCTGAGCATCTTCCTTTCCTCCTGGGTTAACTTTCTCCTGTAGTATATTTTAGTCCATGAGTTTCTATTTATCTTTCCTCAAACCCTTTGAAATCTGCTTTCCCCAGTTCTAGAGTACATGTCATATCATGCCTGATTTCCTATCCTCTTCACAAGTAAGAGGTAATGGAGGGAGAGGAGATGGTGTGGGAAGCTTAAAGAAAGGTTTAGAACAGCCTCTATGGGGAGGGAGTAAAAGAACTGATTGTCTTTTAATTAATTATAGAGTCAAGATGGGCAAGAGAGGAGAATGAGATTAGAATGTGTATGATGTTCAGAGAGAGTACTGAGAGATGGACGGTCTGGATGTTTTATTAGGATATATAATGAGTTTAGGAGGGGGAAGGCAGAGGGAGAGATGGAATTAGAGAGGTTAGGATCTGATGGCAGGAATGTCCGAGTTTTTCATTTTGGAAGTTGATCTCTTGTGGGTCAAGGGCCTGACCATCCCTGTGTGCAGCTGAGATGAAATGGAGAAGTATGTCATGAGAGTTTGAAGTGGGGGAGACTGAGGAATTGGGTCATTTAGGTGTCTGGGGGTAATTCATTTTTTCAGCAGAATTCATGACAGTCACACACGTTTACTAGCATTTATGCATTTATACAGGTTTGCAGAATGCTTTCTTCACAACCCACCTCCCCCGTGACATAGTTATAATGACCCCAGGAGCAGCCTCCCTATGCCCCACCTAAAGAAGCCCCAGAGAAGCTCTAAAATCCCTCAGTCACCTTGTCAGATAGTAACGAGATCATTATTAGCAATATTAGTCCCAAACCCCTTCCTCACCAGAGCTAAGGGAGGCTGAATATTGACTGGCCACCAATTCCCCATGAATCTTCCTTCCCATTGGCATGAATCCGCACCAACACCCAGATCCTTGTTCCCTTCCCCCAATGCCTGGTCTCGTGTAAAAGAACCTTGCCACATAGGAACCCTTTAAAAACCAAACAGACTTTATTGGTTTGTGGGGTGGAGTGATGTTGCCCCATTCCCTCTAGGTCCTCAGCAGGGTGTGACCAATTACACCTGAGGCTCCACCATCCTCCCTAACTATACTTTATATTGCATGTCCCCTCACTAGAGCTGGCTTGCTTTACTGTCCTGTGACCTCCATGTTTCCTTGTACTGGACCTCTGTATTCTGAACCTTCCTAATTCTGCATTCATACAGGGATATGGGAATTACTGGACCCATTTTACAGATGAGAAAATTTAGATTAGCATCATCTCTCAAAATCAAAATTTAGCTTATCATCATCTCATCAGAATCTCATCACACAGCTTATAAACATCAGGTGGAATTTGAACCCAGATCATCTGGGTCCATGGCCAGTGCTAGATCGACTACATAATCCTCAGCTGTTTCCAGAGGGTATGGAATTGAGTTACCCTCCTATGACACAGGCCTTGAATAAAACAGGGTAGGGTATGGCCTGTAACTAAGTGGACCCTCCAGCCTCAGTTGTATCAGGCTATATGCACAATTTTTGGTTTTGTCCTTGCTGGAATGTTCTAGAATTAAATTATCTCATTAAGTTCAAATGTGAGACAGCCACTACCTGGCTCACCTTTGCTGCTTAACAGCCTGTGCTTATAGAAAGTACAGCCTGGGCAACTCGTCTTCACTGCAGGTACAAGGTGAGCTCCGAAGCAGAGTAACGTGCCTTTGTGGAATTTCACAGATAAGAAGTAACTGTGCCTTTGTGGAATTTCACAGATAAGAAGTAACTGCCGTGTGAGTGTGGAATGGGATTTACACAGGCTTTTGTTGTGCAAACAGGAGTCGGGAAGGAACAGCTTTCAAAGGCTGTTATGAGAATGTGTGACAGACAACAAAGGAAACGTAACAGCAACCACACTGGATTAGAATCGGGGGTTGGCAAGGCAAACTAGAGCCAAGAGCGGTACTTAAAGATGTAAAATCTGGGTGGCTGGGCCGTGGTTTGCTGATCCTTGGATTAGACAATTAGAAATTTACTCAGTCCCTTGAATACGTGGCCTTATAAGGCTACTCAAAGCTGGAACAGTGGTCCTTTCGATGCTTTCCTACTTATCTGCTTGCTAGGTAAGGCACTTATGCTCTGAGCGCGTTTCCTCATGGGTCAAATGGGGATTAGGGCTAGCGCCGACTTCACAGGGTAGAACTAAATGAGATAACACACATGAAGTACTTTTGAAACTTTAAGCACTATATAAATCTCAACTGTTTTTACTGTTGTTACTTCAGTTACTCAGCTGCCCTGATTGTACCATCTTATACCAAATTCTTCTTCCCAATCATTTGTTTGCCAGCACCATTCAGAAACCATCAAGTCTCAAATAGGATTTCAAATAACATGAAATGGGGATCTGTATGGACACATACCGTGAACAAATCGATTTGGTTGAATCTTTCCACTGGTGATATCTGAATACATTTAAAAATCTCTTAAGGTAAGAGAAATGAGTGACCAGGGCAATCTGGATTCCTTTCTATGGCTGAAGAAAGATCTACGGCTTCTCTCTTATGCCATATGTTCAACCCTCCTTGGTGTGATGAGTAATCCTTTTGCTGGGGACTCCAATTAGAACGAGATGCCAGGCTAGTAAGTGATATCAGGGTGAAGGGAACATAGCCTCCCTCTAGAAGAATAAATAATCAAAACTCCTACTTGACAAGGGAAGCTCCTCGGGGACCCACCTCATAATTGAAGTAAAAGTATCCACTTTGGTGAGCAAACTGCCAGAAGCATTCTGTTCCTCCTGGTGAGACCATGATGGCAAAATCGTAGCGATCGGCTCCACGAAAAAGTGTTTGGTCAGTGAGGCCACTTAAGGGCTCTGTCTTCTGTCCTCTGGCCAACAGCACCAGATTTAGGAATGGCACTACAACCACAAAGAGGGAAGGAGACATGCTGCTTCTTCCAGAATCCAGATGCTTTGCTTGGAGCAGAGCAGGGGACAATGAGTTTTGGCCACTGTTGGGGTAATAATTAACTTCACTCATCCCTCCTCTGCCAATTGGAGTTCCCCACACATTGAGGACCTTGGGTTACGCATATTGCCTCTAAAGTATGGGACACTTAAAGTGACTGGCTGAGGCTCTTTCTAGTTTTAGAAAAAACAAATGGTTTTAAGTCCTGGGGCATACTGGCTAAAAACAGAGCATACTGCCAACCATCATTAGCAAACTGTAATTTTTTTATTTCAACTTACTTGGGAGACTGAGTAAATTTAGAGTATAATCCCTAAGTAAATGAACAAGTAAGTTTCTTGCGTATAGTTTTCTATTACTATCTGTTTAGAACTGCCAGCTTTTAAAGATGAGTTCTAGGGGCAGCCAGGTGGCGCTGTGATAGAGCTCTGGCCTTGGAGTCTGGAGGACCTAAGGTCAAATCTGGCCTCAGACACTTGACATGTATTAGCTGTGTGACCCTGGTCAAGTCACTTAACCCCGATTGCCTTACCAAAAAGCAAAAATAAATAAATAACGATGAGTTCTAATCTCAGTTCTTATCCCAACTACTCCTTAGTCCCAATTTCCTCAATTGTTAAAGAAAAGGGTTAGACACTTAAAGATGATTTGAGACCCTGTCTAGATGTGGGATTTTGAATATGCATTCTGCCCTTGCTGCTCCCCAGGGGCAGAGGGGGCAAGATGTTGTGACATGCTCCCACCCCATGGCTAGACAGAAAATGAGAGAACTCTGCAGGCAATACCAATTGGAGCAGTTTTAAAGGCAAGATGCTTGATATCTGTGACAATCCATGATGTATTATTGGTTAGGGTGGGTAGGTATACGAGATACCAAGCCTGTACTGCTTACCAAAGGTTTCCATGTGTAAAGGCAGAAGCTAAATGCCCACACCTTCACATCCTGATACCTAAAACCACAGTTTACAGCCTTGATCTGCTGATTTCAATCACTAGTATTAGTCAGCTTTCTCCAGCCCTCATGTAAACTCCAGCATTTCCACTGTCAAAGCACAAGTACCTCTTACATTTAAAAGAATGGTAGCTCTAGAAATACAGGTTTTGAGCAAGAAGTGGACCTTTTCCTTACCAAGGTTTTTATGCAAACTGCAAGCCTTGCCTAGAATGTACACCCTTCTTACCACTACCTTTTAGAATCTCTGGCTCTAAGACTCCACTCAGGTACCACGTCCCAAATGACACCTTTCCCGATTCCCTTGGTTAGTGCCCTCTCCTGGAATGACTTTGGATTTGTCTCTTTGTACAATACATGTAATATATCCCCAGTAGGCTATAAGGTCCCAGAGGGAAAGGTCTCTTTTTTAAAAATTTGGCAACCTCATTGTCTTAAGCCCTTCACAATCCAGTCCCCTCCTACCTTTCCCAGTCTTCTCACACATTACTCCTCTCTACGGACTCTGTGATCCAGCGACACCTGGCTTCCTTGCTGGTCCTTGCACATGTTAATTTTCCCTGGGTGTCTCTCTCCTCATCTCTACTACCTGACGTCCTTCAAGTCATAGCTAAAGGACCATTTTCTGCACTGTCTCTTTCATCTGATTTCGAGCTCCCTGAGAGCACGGATTGTTTCTCGACTTCCTTTGCATTCCTGCTACTTAGTACAGTGCCTGGCACGTAGTAGGTGCTTAACAAACGCTTGCTGACATAGAAAATACTTAATAAAAATGGTTTTAAGTGTAGTTGTTAAATGGCAAACACATTTTGGCCAAAAGCAAGGCCTGCCCCGCCTATGCATAGAAGATACATCCCCCTGGGAAGCCAGAGAATAAGAGCTGCTTATCTCTTCCATTTTAAAATATCTGAGTTAGCTGATTAAAAAAACCAAGAGATTTAGCTAAATCTAAGCAGGATAATTAGATGGGGCTCAAATGATGCATTCTGAGAACTGAATCTACTCATAATGAGAAGAGAGGTTAGGGAGAGTCCCCTCCCACTTTTACACTTGTTGGTAAAACCCCAGGGTATGAGCCAAGGGTAAGACCCTTGACTCCACTCAAATGAAGTTAACTGTTCCTTTCCTGCATAAACTGGGAGGTGAGAAAAGGTATGTTACTGGGTCCTTGAGAAGTATAAACTGCAGAGAGCATATTTTGAAGGTTCATCATTTCATACCAGCCCCTTGTTTCTTAACCACATCAAATGCTATTATTGAACATCTACATAGAATTGTGAGGGAAACAGTATTTTAATGAAGAATGCTACAAGTAAAGGACAATAATTAGTATTCATCTTTTAAAAAAAAAAAGATTACAGAAAACATTTTACTGAAAGTTGTGGCTAAAAAGAGACCTTCAGGCCTTTCCTCAAGGGTGTCTGAGAGAGACAGCAAGCACAAACAATGCGGAAGGAGCCAGAAGGCGTGTTGAGCTCCTGCCAGACGACACACCAATCTTTGAAAGCACAACGAGGGAGTCAAGCAGCTGCAAACATTTCACAAACTAAGAACAGAACTAAGGGCTAGATTCAGGTTTCTTTAAAGCTTCCAGAGTCCAGAGCAGAAGGGCAAAGACTAAGCTCACCTACAACACACAATTTTACAAAAGGAAAAGCCCCCACACCAGTTCAGCCACGTGGGAATTGAGACGCCAAGCTGCCTCTCTGGCCCAGAAAACAGAAGGACCGATGCACCAGCAGCTTAGGGGCCGCTGTGGGTCACAGCTGGTGAAAACTCTTCTTCCAGACACAGACACAGCTCTCTTCCACCTGGGCTCACAATGGAGCATGCTCCTTGCCCGGCTTCTGGTAAAACTCTGCCTGGAGGTCGTTTCTACTGACCAGCGTGGGGTTTCAGTTCTGTTTAAGCCACGAGAGAACATGGAAGCTGCCTGCCTCCTGGTCCTCCCCAAACTGTGTACCTCAGTCATTCCTGCCGAGAAGGCTGGGCTGGGGCTCTCCTCCTTCTCAACTCCGAACACTTTCTGACAGCGAAAAAACAAGGACCTTCCCAACCAAAGAAGCAGACTGCCCAGCACTCTCATCACCCCAGCCCAATTTCTGAAAGAAAGCATGGAATAGAGGGCTATTATCTGAAGACATGCCCCTATTAATTCTGAGAAAATAAAAGAAGTTTTCAGTTCATTCCCAGTTTTTTCATGGTCCGCCAACGGTCCTTGATCATCACAGCTGTTCGGTTAACAAAGGGGAAGTTTTTGGAAATAGCAGCCCAGTTTCCTTCCCCGTATTTTTTCACTCCAGCCTTGACCCATTCACTCTCTTGCATAGTCCATTTCTGCAAGAGAAAACCAAAAGAGACTTATCATACTCTGTCCTCTGAGAAATCCCAAGAACAGGATGCCCAAAGCACCAAAGAATACAGAGGAAAAGTCTAGAGAGAAGAATCTGAAACTACTAAGGCAAGTCAAAGGGTACAATCATTTTAAAAGATTTTAGTACCATGGAATTTTAAAGGCACAGTTAAATTAAATTATTATTGGCATCATAATTTTCAGTTATTATTTATTTAAAAATCACTTCCCAATGACATATCCGCCTTCTAAACATCCTTTCTCCATTTAAGAAACAAGCCATCAGTAAAAGCTGAAATGCTGCCACAAACCTCCCCCAAATTTAAGCAGCTCTACTTCCTATAATTTTAAAAGTCACAAACGAAAAAAAAAAAAAAATGCCTCATGCTGAGCTTTCTGTGACCAGTGAAGTGTATGCTGTCCCTTCTGGCTCAAGACTTGCTTAGTCAATAAACATTTATGAAGTGCCTACTCTTTGCCAGCACTATGCAAAACACTGGGTTCAGAAAATCCAAGGAAAGGTTCTAACCCTTGATTTTCCTTTTGAAGAACACCTGCCCCTTTGGTTATACTCATCTGAGACAGGTCATTTCTTCTTCCCAAAAAGAAGTTTCCAATTATCAAACACTAAAATGTGCAGATACTTTCCCTTTCCCTTCATCCTCTTTACATCCAACCAGAGAAGAACCCCTGGGCAAGCTTTTCCAGTTCTCTTTGAAAGGGAAGACTCTAGAGTCTACATTACCTGCTTTTTTGTTCCAGGGGCTGAGCTGTTGTTTCCATCTGATCCTGCTGCAAAAAAAAAAAAAAGGATGCTCATTTAGCCCTAGCTTTCACTGTCCAATCACACCACCAACCAAAGCCATGAGACAGAACAGAGAGCCCAAAGGGAACAAAAAGGGGTCCTTGGCTCAAATCAACGTCTGTGAACACTGGAAGAAAAGGGACACCACTTGAGGTTAGTTTCTGCCACAATTCTTTTAACGGTTCATTCTATTTTTTTTGCCCAAACATGTCAGGCTCTTTAACACTCATCTTCATGTTAATGGATTGTTGTGTGCTTACCACCCTCATGTGGGAACACACCCCTGTCCTGCACACCTGGAATGCTCTCCCACCTCACTTGCACATCAGAGAATCTGGCACCCAAGGTTCCGTTCAAGAGCCAGCCCCTTCACAAGGAACCTTCTCTCCACTTGTTAGTGTTTTTACCTCCCTAGGAATTACTTAACGGGAGTCTGTAGACAGGCCACCTGCTCCATAAAACAATCTGGAACCATGCTCTCAAAGTTACTACACTGTACACGCTTTGACCCAGCAATACCACTAGTGGGTACGTGGCCCAAAGAAATCCAAGAAAGAAAAGAACCTATACATATAAAAAATTTAGAGCAGCTCTTTTTGTGGTGGCAAAGAACTGGAAACTAAAGGTGTTCCTATCAGCTGGTGAATGGCTTAACAAGGGATGGTATATAAATGGAATGGAGCATGGCTGGGCTGTAAGAAATGACCAAGGGGATGGATTCAGAGAAACCTGAGAAGACTCCTATGAATTAATGCAGAGTGATGTGAATAGAACCAGGAGAATGATTTGTACAGAGTAAAAATACTCTAAGCATAGACAGCTCTGGAAGACTTTAAAACTCTGGCCAGTCAATGCTAGGCCTGCGAAGATGATGAGGAAGCACGCTGTCCACCTGGTGACAAAGAAGGGGTGAAGCCTGTGGGCAGAAAGACCTGGCTACCTGCTCCCCGGGAGTAGCAGCTGGGCTTGTTCTGCTCAGCCACACATCTGTATTGCAAGAGCTTTGGCCTTTCTTCAGTGAGAAGTGCAAAGGAAGAGCAAGTGAATGCTTGTTCACTGAAAAATTAAGTGTGCTTACAGCTAAAATAATATTGTGTATTTGCTTTGTGTATTAATGTTTATTTACTTGTGTCTGTACTGTGCTTCCCACCTCCAGGCAGCGGCCGTTTCTCTTTGGTCCAGCAGAGAGCAGTGCTCAGCACATGGCAGTCATGTAACAAAAGTCTGCTGGCCAAATGAATGAACAAACAAATGAATGAATATAAAGATACCTCAGAATTACATGCTGCAGCTCCCTACACAAATCTGCAGGCCATAGGAAGGAACGTTTCATATTAATTATGTAAGAGGCACTGCTGTTGATCCTGGGAGTCAAAAAGAAGAAATCTCTCTTTTACAAAGCCTGTCAGAATGGTGAAGGCATCAGAGATGGATAATCCCATCTACCCTTTTTAATAATGTCAGGCTGATCATTTCCATCAAACAAATGCATATTCCAAAACCATCAATTAACAGAATACCATGAGGAAACTGAAGTAGCACATTTTTATTTAGAAGTTATAAAAAACATAATTGCTAAGGAAGTGCTGCCTGAACAGTCTTCACTGTGAATTTTACAGCAAATGATAGCCTTGACTCTAAGGTAAGCTCACAGAATAAGAGATAGGATGCAAGTCAGATGTGAAGATGAAAGTCAGAGGCGTCAGTAATTTCTTAAAATACTTTAAAAATTATTTGGACAAGCATGTGGCGGAATGTTCACCGGTGCCAGCCTGTATTTTGTATCTAAGCATGTCTCCTTCATGCATGAACAAGTCATGTGCATATATAGAGACATGCTAGTTGCACGCGTGCATGCATGTGTGACATCCCTCTCCCCCTACCCCGAGAGCACTTGTGTGTGATTTTGCAAACGTACCCTGGACGTGAAAGAGCTCCTCCTCCTCCAGCCAGGTGTCTTTTTCTTCAAGCCCATTGGAGCTGTTCCATTTGTCTCTGTGTACTCTGAGGGAAAGACCAAAAATACATGTGGATGTAACATAGTGAACAAGCCTAAATAAAGAGAAAGCTATGCCCTAGGCAAGTTACACAAACATTCATGGATTTCAAAGGGAGGATATTAAGGGCGTCAAAATGACACGGTAAAAAATAAACACAAATCACCATGACATGCATCCATCAAAGCCTTAAGAGATTACTCTTCCACAATTCAAAGGTTATGGTTAAGGTCTCTCCCTGGTCAGTAGTAGCTCAACTCAGTAGCAGGGCCTCTAACCTAGTATTTGTTAAGATCACGCAGCATTCCCACTTAAATCATAGAGACTGAAAGCATGCTCTGAAACCCAGAGTTCCGGAAACTAGACCTGAAAATGCTGTTTAAGAGTATGGTTCAACTTAAGAAGGGATGCTTGAAGAAAAATAACATTTAGTGGTAACATCTCTAAGAAGCTAAGTGTATTTTGCTAAGTAGCCAGTAATTAACTATTAATTAAATCAGTCACAGTTACTTTGAAAATAAAAAACAGCAAACAAAAGAGCAAACCAGTTTGCCTTAACAAAAACATTTGATGTTCTTTCAAAGCAAACATGAAAATAATCAGAGCAGGTTAGATAGATAGGAGTGGCCCATAACAAAACTTCATAGAGATGGTGGAAATGTTGATGCTTTATACGAGTCATTGGGAATTTTTGCTTACACTGTTTCTCCTGACTAGGATCTTTCACAACTTGCAAATCCCTCTACCCATCCTTTAAAAGGTGGCTTAAATCCTCAAAAATCATACTTTTAAGTTGCTGGCTATTTGAATCCTCTAAAAGCACGCAAGTTTTTAAAAACACCTTTCCTAAGTTTTCAAAAAAGTTTTTCTAGCAACTAAGTGGATGTGATTGTAAAGTCAGTCTGTGGTCTTTGAACATCCATAGACAACGGAAGAGGCTACAGAACTACAGGGTAATGTCCCAAATTTCAAGGAGGGGAGAAATGGGAGTCTACAAGTGATAGGTCAGTGAACTTAATTCCTAGTAGGATTCTTAAATTCATTACTGGAGGGGTGCCTAGTGAACATCTGGGAAAAAAAAATCAGTAACTTCAAGCTAGCATGGCTTCACCAAAAATAGGTCATGCCAGACTAACATACTATGCTTTTTTGAATAGGTTACTAGATTGGTAGATCAAGAGAATGCTAATGTCAATCTAGATTTTTCGAAGCACAGGCTGCTGGAGACAACGATGTATCTGGAACATGCCAAGACTTTGACAAAGTTTCTCATGCTCTTTTGTCGACGTGAAAGTAGTTCCGTACCTACTACTAATAGTATCCACCTACCTACAGATTTGGAATGGGTCCTATCTCATTAATCATTCAATATCAACTTGAAAGAGTTTTAGTGGAGGGTTCCCCAGAAATGCACTTGGCCCTGTGCTGTTTAAGATTTTTATCAGTGATTCTCATGGGTAGCTGAAACAGAACTCTGAGAGAATCAGGATTTATGAAAGATCAACAGACCAGAATGGTGGGTTCAATCTAATAAGAAATTGACTAAGGATAAAAGTAGTCTTACACTTGGGTTCAGAAAAATCAGCTTCATAAATCAACAAGTATTTATACAAATCAACAAGATTTGCGAAGAAAGGCTAGGAAGCAATTTCTCTAGGAAAAAAAAAAACCGGCTTTTGTTGCTTTTTTAATGGACTATGAGCTCAATGAGTCAAAGGTGTAACACAGCAGCCAAGAAAACAAATAGGATATCGTTGCTCCATTGAGAAGTAATGATCAGAAGAGGGAAGCCAGAGTTCCTGTCTTCTGCCCTGGTCAGACCACATCCGTAACACTGGGTGCCATGTTTTAGGAAAGCTGTGGAGAATCAAGAGGAGGGTGACCAGGATGGTGACAGGCCTCAAATTCATGATGCATGAGGACTGGAAAAAGGGTCGAGGGATTTCTTAGCCTGGAGAAGACAGAGAAGCCTCACGGATGACATGATAGGTGCTCTCAAGTCTTTGAAGGGTTGTCACGGGGAAAGGGATCAGATGAGTTCTGATTAATTCCAGAAGGCAGAATTAGGAATCCGGGGTGGAAGCTGCAAAGAGGAAGGTTTAGGCCAGATGCAAGGAAAAGCCTCCTGACAATCACAGCTATCCTAAAGTGGAGTGGCCTGCCTTGGGAAAGACTAGGTTCCCCACTCCTCAGGTCTTCCACAACCACTTCTTTGGTACGTCGCTTTTGATCAGACAGGGCATGGACCACTTGGCCTTGGAGCACTGCCGTATTGACTAGGACCTATTATTTTCATGGAGTTTACTTTAAACTACTCGTAGCATTTATGGTGGTCACCATCATCTCTAAAATACACCATGCAGATTCCTACCTGAATATATTTGCTTATGTAATTTCTCACAGCTAAAATAACGCTATTCCATCTCATTCCCTCGACCCTCAAGAACTAGTTCATTTGAGGTATGGCTTCATCAAGAACAGGTCATGCATGCCAAGCTAACCTAATTTCCATCTCTGACAGGATTACTAACAGAGGAAAGTTACGGATCTAGCTGAATGTAGATTCCAGCAAAGCTTCTGATAATTTAATAACTCATGCTAGTCTTGTGGATTAGACAGTAACACAATTAGATGAATTCAGCAACGGTTAGACAGCCAGACTCAGAGTAGTGGTTAACGGCTTAGTGTCAACATGGCAGGTCTCCAAAAGATTACCTGTGCTCAGCCCTTTGCTCTAAATATTTTTATTAATGACTTGGAAAAAGAAATGGACAGTATGTTCATTAACTCTGGAGATAACACCAAGCTGGGAGTAATCACACGCTGGATGGTAGAACCAGAATCCAAAAAGATCCTGATGGGCTAGAGCACTGGACTGAATCTTGAAAGATAAAATTCAGTAAGGATGAAGGCAGTCTTGTACTTGGATGACAAAAAAGAATCCACTTCATCGCTTCTAATGAGGGAGGCATGATTAGAAGGCAGTCTAAAAAAATAATCTGAGGGTTTTAGTGGGCTCCAAGCTCAATCTGTGCCAGCAGTGTGATATTTCCTCAGCCAAAAAAGTTAATGCTATCTTGGGCTACCTCGGAAGGTATCACTTTCAAGAAGGGAAAGTCACAGCATCTCTGCCATGGTCAACCCTCATCTGGAGTTGTGTTCCCTTCAGGTTAAGGAGTGTCCAGAGAAGAGGAACTAGGTTGGTGAAGGGCTGGGTCTACGACCATTGGATAAGAGAAGCCTTAGAGGAACAGGAGAGTGATACTCAAGTACCTGAAGGGCTGCAACAAAGGAGAGATTAGCTGTGTTCTGTTTGAACCAGGAGCAATTTGGGCTTGAGGTCAGGAAAGATTTCCCGACCTCACTGAGTTGTGGAATGGGCTGACGTGAATAAGTAGCTCCCTCTGTCTCCCTGGAGGTGTTCAAGCACAGGCAGGTAGCTGCCGAGGCCCTTTCCAACTCTCAAATGCTGCAATTCTTCAAAAGCCCCCACCAATCTCACCTCCAGTCAGTGCTCCCTCTTATTAACTTACTGGCTACACAAGTCATCTGGCACATGTACACTGTCTGGGACAGCTTCTGGGTTTTTCTTATGTCTTATTTTACCATTGTACTGTCATCCACTTCTCACCTAGGTCTGGTGCTTCTGAGCAGACAATGAACTTGAAGATAGGAATCATGTCACATTTTTTTATATCCGTTTAACAAATACATTCTGGGGCCCTAATATGGGCACATTTCTGCAATGGGTACTGCAGAGCAGAGGGGTCAAACTTGCCACACAGCTCCCAATGCTCAGGAACCCAATTAACATGTAACTGGGAAATGTTTAACAAAACAAATAAAAATGCAATACAACACAGCTAATGTGAATTAGTGGTTTTCTAAGTCAATATATCGGGGCAGGGATTTGTTTCTATTTGAGTTTGACACCACTACTGTAGGAAGATACTAAGAATCCTAAGACATCTTTTAAGAATTATGACACATAGGAATGTATAGTCTAATTAGGTAAATAGACCACATACACCAATAGCTATAAGGCGAACCCCCAAAATAGGTCACACCCTAAAAATGAGATCTCCCTGAAAGGAAAAATATACACTGAATAATAACACCAATTTTTATGACATTTAAAGTTTTATGTAAACCACATTCAGGGGAAAACAGTATTCAGTAAATGAAGTTCAGGAGGAAAATTCACTTTCATCGAGAGCTATCTTTAAGAAAGCTTTCAAAGAAAAGGTGGAATCTGAACAGGGTTTTGAAGGCTGGGCAGAGTTTCTTTTTTTTGCCCATGTGCACAGTTTTGGAATCCAAAGATGGGGTGGTCAGTTTATCCAGAGGGAACTGCATGAGCAAAAACACAGACACCTACAAGGTCTGAGATGTTCCAGAGAGGGAGACCAAGTCAAGTTTAGCAGCACAAAGGGCGAGTACAGAGCGGTGGGACACACTCAAGCTGGAAGGGCATCTGGGGCAAACTGTGAAAGTCATTAGATGCCAGGCTAGAAGGGCAAGGCACTGCTCATTATTCACTATCTGTCGAAAGATCAAGAGCCTCAAATATATGCAACAAGCAAGGGACTACAAGGGTTCTGTTTCTTGAGGGGAAAATAAAGAAATGTAACACAGTCTCCTTAAAATAATCTGCCTTAACATTAAACGGTCTGAAATGAACAGCTCCAGCTAGCTCACTGAAATGAAATCAAGGAGAAACCAGCTGGGGAACGTTTCCATTCTCTTTCCTGCCCTCGGACACCTCCTGGGCCCCCATTTCTGAGTTTTGCTCTAGGAGCGATTTAACACCAAGTTTTTCATGACTTAGTTTAACTGCGCTGCTTCATCTATTAAAGTGATAACCACACTAGGACAACCAACCAACCAACCAAGGACGGCAAAGACCATCTTCGTACTTATGACTCTTCTCCCCAGCCAGGGGCTGATTGTGTAGCTTCAGGACTGTGGAGTTGGAGGCTGAAGACACAATGGTCTCTTGGGAGGAGTCCGGGCTGTCACTCTGCTCACTGCCCTGGCTGTCATGCTCCAAAACCAATCTGCTTATTGTCATACACTTGTTCTGGGGCTGCAGTTCAGAGTTATCTGTAGACTCCGAGGGAGAACTTTCGTCTTGTCTCTGTCTCTTGTTTCTGAGGGCTGCTGAAGGGGACGCTGGACTGGAAACTATAACATCCTTCTGGTCCAATTTAGTGAAAGCCGCTTCCGGGTCTTGTGAATCAGAAAGGCTCCAAAAAGCTCTTTTCAGAGTTGAAATCCCAAACGTAGAAGGACTTTCAGATACCTGTCTAAAAATAAGAAGAAAAATACTCTGACAGCCGAAGGTCAGTGTCATCGATTCTTGCTAGTTTCCCAACCCAAACATCTACGTCCTCCCCAAGCTGTGATGCCCCAAACCGGACAATGTAATTTGGCTGAGGTCTAAACATTTTCAAAAAAGGATTCTGCCCACCTCCGTACCTAATCACAAAATAGAGGCTTTCTTTCAAATGGAGAGAGAAGAACGACTGTAACATTTGGAGAGCAGGTGAAAAAAAATCGAGAAAAATTAGTCTTTCCAGAATTCCCCTTCCTGCTCCTTCTCCTTTATAGAGGAGACCAAAAGAAAAATGACTGGAATTTGTATGCCAATTTAACTCTAATGAAATTTGTTAAAAACACTGAATACTATTTGACTATGTCAACCTGGGGTGACATATGCTCAAGTCTGTTCAATTGATTTCATCAGGCAGTTTATACACATTGAACTTCTGCCCTCTTTGGAGATCAGAGAAGTAGCATGGGCGGGCAGAAAAAGCAAGAAGTGACCAGAAGGCCTGAGTTTTAAACCTCCTTTTCCAACTAAACTAGTCATGTGACTTTCAGCAAATCACTTCACTCTAAGGGGCCTCACCCAGCCTCCTCTAAGAACAGAAGAGGTTCTTTCCCATAAGTTATCTGTTAATTAAGCTATTCAAGAAGGAATAACCTCACTAGTCAAGAAGCCTGCACTTCCAATTGCCACTGTTTCACAGACATTTCTTTCCAAGGGAAATGTTCCCCACCTCATGGGCTCTTTGAGTGGCTTCTCCACGGGCTCCAAGGCCGGCTGCTTGTCTTCCTTCATATTCCCAGGACCTTCACCCACAGTATCAACAGCAGCAGCATCGGCTGTGGCACTGGCAGGGGGAGCCGGAGCCACGGCGGCCACAGCAGCAGAGTCAGCTGTGACGGCGGCTGCAGCAGCAGGAGGAGCAGACGATGCAGAAGATGATGATGATGATGACGTCGAAGACGATGATGATGACTCAGATTTTAAAGCCCTCTTTGCGATCTTGGAAGGGAAGAGACTATTATCAGAAAGGATTCTATAGGGTTCCATTAATTCCCTGTTCGATAACAATCAACACTCTCGTTATGGAAAGAGTTCACTTGAAAAACTTAAAGTCAGTAGTGGGGAAAAAAGGAAGAGTTGTTCTAAGATATCTCCCAAATTTATGTTTTCCCTTCACAAAACAAAGTAATGGTGACAAATAAAAAGAGCTCACAATTTTAAAAACTACGTAAAAACAGCTGTTCTGACACTAGGAAAGGGGATCTGATTTCAGTGGTGTTAATTACCTCCACATTTCAGGTTTTTATTTCAAATATTCTTCACTCTTGGTTGCCAAATCCTATAGGCTCTTGCTCCAAGTCTGTTGGATCTGCCTCTCCTCTCCTTATTTCCAACCATGCCCTAATGAAGAGTCTCTAACTCAGGGGTAGTCAACCTAACCCCAGACAGGAGTCAGAATTCACGAGTGTCAAAGGGCCACAATGTTTCCTGGGGAGGGTTTGAGTGGAGCTGACAAATATTTAACTCATTCATCCATTTATTTATTTTTATATGAAACCTGGGATGTGTTTTATTGGGGAAAGGGAAACCATTGTGTCTATGTGTGGACATATATAGAGTATTCTAGCTTTACTGTAACTTATTTTTTCTTTGTTGGAGGTTTCTTTATCTTCACCCTTGTATTACCTGTGAAGGTAATGACAAAGCCTTGGGATGGCTACCCCTGCTCTCACTCTAACTATGGCTTCCTCCATCTCCATCTAGCCTTAATTATTTCCCAATAGTACAAAGTAACTTGTCCTTAAAATTTCGGGTCCATTTATCTGTAAAGGGCATTGTTTTACAAGAAAAGAAAACCCTACCTATGGTAACATCCTGTCCACACTTCACCAATAGTGGAAAAATGACTATGAGCCTTGATTACTTTATTCCAGCTATCCAGATACACAGAGGATCAACAGGAGTGGAGGTGATGACAGGAGGAGAGGGGTTCTCAGAGGAATTTGCTGATGCCAGCTCTATTAACATTTCAAACTGGTTAAGAAGATAATTAAAAATACCTTGGCCATGTGATCTACAAATCAACCACAATGGGCCACTGTAACAGATTTTTAAAAACATGATTACAAAAAGCTAGTAAACATCTACAACCCAAAGACTCAATATCCATCCATACTCAAAACAATCACCTTATCAAGTGCAGCCATCTCACCCTGAGTTCCAAGGTCCTCCAAGTTCCCACTTTGCACTTTACTTCTCTCTGTACGCTTGACCCTATGTACTTTGCCCCTGGCAAAGTAAACCTTGACTTGGCCACTTTCTATTTGAGGCTGCACATTTCCTAAAAGCCCATGGTTCACAGGCTTTTAAACACTCTCATTTCACATCTACCAAGTTCTTATCTCCCTTCTTCCAAAGCCTCTCCCAAATTTCATCTCTTTCACAGCACCCTGGTCAACTGGGGTAAATCACACTTGACTTAATTAAGCACAACAAACACACTCCATGCAACAAAAGGAGAAAAAGCAGACTGTGTAGAGGAAAGAAGCTAGCTACGTCTCTGAATCATTTCCCCACATAGGCCGGCAAAACATCCACAACAGAAAAAAAAAAAAAAAAAAAGCACCTGATGACTTTAGAACCCTGATACACAAATCTGCTGTGTGAAGGGACCTACATACCGTCAGGAGATAAGGCTCGGCATCATCCATGTGGCTCTCCAGAAATCGCAACATCTTCTGCTGGAAGGTCTCATAGGAAAAGTTCTGAATCACAGGATGTGTGACGTTCCTTTCTCGGATAATGCCCAGCAGATCATTTCTCAATTTCTGAATGAAAGACCATCATTTACAACATGAAAAATGGACGTCAAGTGAAGAACCCAGTTATAGAGCCTTGAAGAAATAACATTATAACATTTGCAATGTGGCAAATGCAAATCCCAAGTACTAAAAGAAAAAGTATGACATCAATTGGATTTTTGGTAAAAGAATACTGTCCATTCCCTCAACCAAGCCTCCCTGATCTGAATGCTTTCTGTGGTCGACATCTGAACCACATCAGAAACAGAGCAAACTGCTAACCCATACCAGCTTTTCCCATATCCAGGCACTGGTTACAAAAGGGACAAAGCCAGGGAAAGTAGGGGATTGAGGCAAGTCTACCATATGGAAAAGTAAGTCCAAAGTGAGCCTACATGACAGCATCACCTTTGGATAGCATTTTGTCTTTGTATCTTCCCTAGCCTTGACACCATATTTTACACATAGTAGAGATAGGCACTGAGACAGAAAGGACCTAGGATATTATTGCTTTAGGCGACTAGTGAGTAAGAAAAGTCCTTCAGCCAGTGCAGGGCTGCACGTTCTCTGAGGATGAGTGTGAGAAAGCACTGCCCTTGCCAGGGTCAAACAGCCAGCATGCGTCACAGGCCAGGCTGTCTGGCTTTAAGGACAGCTCTGTATCTACTACACCATGATGTCTCCAGTGCATGCAGTAATAGGCATTTACGAAGGAGCTACTGAACCATCATTTACATTTTAGTGATTTTCTGGGCTGAGGGGCTGCCCTCTATCTGTTTCTTAAAAAAAAAAAAAGGATGGATTCAAGTCATGGTAAAACCAGAATAAATTTACCTGAGTTGTAGGATCCTTGGACATATGTTTTTTCAAAATTTTTGAAGCTTTTTCAAATTCTTTGTTTTTGATACAAATGATGACAGCCTAGAAAGGGAAAAAATGATCCTCACTTTGAACTGCTTTAATAATAATGGTAACAAATTTAATCAGCACATCAAGTGAACTCTCTTTAATGAAGTGAAATTAAAGCTCCCATTCAAAAGCCTTTTTGTATTACACTCAGTTCCTTATAAAATGAAATCTTGACTTAACATTAATGATTATTGCCAGAGCACAGCAAACAACTTGATTCAATCCACAAAGGCAAGGTCCTTCCATCCTAAACTTTTAACCATCAGGATCTTTCCAAAGTGCTGTTTATTTTTTTAATGGGATGAAAGGAGAAAGCTGATCCATGGGATTATTATCAATAAGGCCAATTTGAATCATCTACCCTCCTCCCACCAATGGAGGTGGTTTCAAGGTAGCTCACTCCCAATTTCAAGAAATTATCTCAGTTCCCTTTAAAGGCCACAGCTTTTACTGTACTTTGGTGTAGTGAACACAAATGTTCCTTTATTGTTTCAAAAAGCTGCGTACTGACCACAGACTTTTCCAAGTTAGGCTCAGGAAAGACTTGTGGCCATTTTTATTGAAAATGACCCCAACCCCTAGGAGCACACTGATGCTGAAAGAACCACCTCAGTTGTGCAGAGAACAAAACGAACCAATTCGATACATGGTCACTTCCACATGCATTGAACTAAGAGGACCAATGGGTTCTAACAGAAACAAAGGTATTTCAAAGAATAGGTGCTAAATACATAGAAAATGATTCTGTCAATAAAACTACAGAAGAATATTTGAGGCTCATTTCGAATTAGAAGAAAGGAAGATATCATGTAAAATATTATGGATTTGAGTTTTTAAGAAAATACTGTAAACATATAAAAAATTAAGAGCATTCAGGATAATCCAGTAAAATGAAGGAAAGAAACAGGACCATGAAAAATGTGACTTTTAACTCAAAATTAATATGGAATATTTTTATGAGCCTCAAATTCCAAGACAAGTAAAAGAACAGTAAATTGGTCATTTCCAAGAGCACCGAGTTTCCCTCTAACATGCCAACTCTAGCAAGTATATAACCCAAAAGAAGAAAAAGCTTGAAATGTCACTTATGAAGACCTAGGCCATTCATCTTCTCTAGGCTCTGCCTAGTCACATGTGGCAAAAGGAAAATGGTGTCAAATCTGCTTCTGGGAAGATGCCAACGAGCTTTTTGTTGGGGTCCTTCTAACATGCTGTCAATGAAACAAGACGACTACTAATAAGAATCAGATTACTACACATACACACAATCACACTCTACAAAGGTGATGCTAAGGTAAAAAAGAATCTGCTGCCTCTCAAATACCAAGAATGGGAACTTATGCAAAGCAGTTACTAAGGAAAGAACAATACTGCCCCTGGACTTGGTATCTATTCTAAGACAGTTGCTGCTTTTTTGGGGGGTTGGGGAATAGGGGAGGCAATCAGGGTGACTTGCTGAGGGTATATAGCTAGTAAGCACCTGAGGCCCAATTTGAACTCAGGTCCTCCTGACTCCAGGGCCAGTACTCTATCCACTGTGCTACCTAGTTGCCCCAAATTGCTTTTTCAAGTCTTATAACAACTCCACAACTTTGTGAAAATATTAATTTAGGAATGCGTGTTCCATTCCAATCTCATTTTCATTTACATAAGAATAGACTTTGAAAGAAAGACTGTGAAACGAAGTTGGAACTTTTCTCAAACATAGACCCTCCTTCCCCTTCACTCAATGTATCTGAAAAGGTCTATAATTAGATGTTCTGTTACAAGCTTCAGTTGGCTAATCTAGCAAATCACTAGTTCAAGAAGGTTATGGTCTACCTGCTAAGAGGAATACAGTATCCAGAAGCTTTGGAAATAACCATTCAATGCACAGTTGATTATCTTCATGATTTGTACTCTGAAATGGTCCATTATGTCTCAGAAAAGTACCCTGAACACCCAGCATCTAAAAGCACAACTCCTAAAAATACTCTAAAAAATTAAATTGCCACTTGTTACCAAATAGGTTATTTAAAAATCCATAACAAGGAAAATATGACAAAGGTCCTAGATGTAGTTTAGGAAGAGAAAGGAAATGGAAAGTAAATAGCAACCAAAAGTGGTGAAAAGGCAGATGGCAGCAGAATGAATCATGTGATCAGACTAGGTATAAAGAAAATTTTGGATATAATCAGGTCCCAATACTGAGAATCAGCTTCTTTTTTTTTCTTTTCTTTTTTTTTGCTTTTTGATGAGGCAATTGGGGTTAAGTGACTTCCCCAGAGTCACACAGCTAGTAAGTGTTATGTGTCTGAGGCCGGATTTGAACTCAGGTCCTCCTGACTCCAGGGCCAGTGCTCTATCCACTGCACCACCTAGCTGCCCCCAGAAGCAGCTTCTTGTAGAGAATAAACATCTATTTTCTTTTTAAGTATTCAAGCAATAATGCAGCTTGTGAGAGCAGAAATGGCTCAGATTTTTTTTTTTTGGAAAGAGACTTGTCTCAAAAATGTGTACTACGAACTTAACTGTTAACACTCCCCATCAGAATTCCCACAAAGGAATTTCTTTCTTTTTAAAATTTATTTATTTCAAGGTAAAGGTATTTAATGAAGTAGCACAGCAAGAAAGAGAGCAATGAATCCCTCATAAACCTAGGTTATACTATTCTACACACACACACACACACACACACACACACACACACACACACACACAGTCAAGAATAGAAACAAGCAGGGAACATGTGCAGAGAGGGAGAGATGTAGGGATCATGTGTGGCCAGAGTACATATTTCAGAGGCACACCACAAAAACACCTTCCCAGCTTCCCCACCCCAAATACTCCCAACTCTTTGCCTCAGACACATAATACTCACTAGCTGCGTGACTCGAGGCAAGTCACTTAACCCCAATTGCCTCACAGGAAAAAAAAATCTTAGGAAGAGGCATTTTATCTCCAAGAAGACATTCTTTGCTACAGCTGCTCATATACGAGAGGGTGTGACCAGCAAGCTATCATTGCTTAATTTTTTCTTTGTCCTAAATTTCCTAATTGAAGGGTTTGAGTAATTTTATCAGAGATTATACTCTAGCTCATCTGTTCATTTTAATCATAGAAGGCTAAGAAATACTTATGCACCTTCCCTATAGGGGCTATTCACTCAACAGTACGACAGAATTTCTTAAAAGAAAGCATCACTGCTTCTGATTTGGCATTTTTTCAGAAATATTTAATTTTCTTTTTTTTCCCCTCCACCCCTAGAAATATACATTTTACACATGCAAAGAAGACATTCTTCTTTATATCCCTCTTCTCCAAAGAAAACCCACCAAAGAGAGGCCTGTCTTGTAGTTATCGAGAGAAAGCCAATGTGGACAGTCAAAGTGATCAGCAGCATGCAGAAGCATTCATTTGGTGCCCTTCAGGTCATCAGAATGCTTTGTGGGACATGAAAAAGCCTTCCTGACCTCAGGTTACCAAGATACTTTCCTAAGGATGACAGACAATTTTGACCTAGTACACTGGGGAGGGGATTCCTGCAACAGATGAGAGACTGGAGGTGATGTCCACTAAGGTCACCCCTAGCTCTAAGACTAGACATGGGAAAGGACAACTTCCAAAGGATTGGGTACATAGCATTAAAGAACAGAGAGAAGATCAAAGTAAATATAATGAAAAATTCTAGTCCCAGTTGTAAAACATTTTTCCAAAATGAAGTGGGAAAATGGAAGGGAGTCAATGCTGAATACTTCCAAATAAAGTTAAATCTGAATACCTATAACAGGTATTAAAATCCACAGCAAAGTCCACAGGCCGTCCCTAAAGAGAAATTTCCCTACCTGGGCTCCAAGGCTCTTGCTTAGCTGACTGTTCCTTGTTATACCAAAGAGAATACCCTTTTTACTCCAGTCATCCCTTTTCCCCAACAACGTCCACTGCAAGACAGCACAGGTAGATGACAACAGAAACTACAAGGAAATCTTAGGGTACAAACTATCTCCAGAATGAGTAAATTAGTTACAAGCATATACAATTTCATATTATTTGATTAAGCTTAATGAGGCTCTTCCAGATTCCTCTTTTATTTGTCTGTTCTGTCCTCCCCATTTCTTCAACTATCCTTTAAGTCACTCTCTTTCCTTGCTAGTCCATTCTTACTTTTCACCTAGGTCTAAAGCTAAACTATTTCAATATCCCTAGTAACTGGTAAACAATTTTCAGTCCTGGACTCACTGCCACACTGTTTCGATCTAAAATTATTCTCTTTAAATCTGAGCCACGTGGAAAAAAGAATTAGACTAATTCAGCTTGGCCTTCAAGGGCAAAGCTAGAAACAACACAATGGAAGGTACAAAAAAGCAAATTCAGGCTGAATGCAAGGAAAAACTTTGTAACAAGAGCTATCTGAACATGGAATGGACTATCTCAAGAGCTGGTGGATTCCCCCAAAGTAAGAGGCCAGATGACCACTTGTTGGCTGGGCTGTAAAGCGGACTCTTGGTCAGGTATGAGTTAGACTTTCTGGCCCCTGAGGTCTCTTCTGACTCTCCAAGGACCTCTTGGTGTGCAGGGCATATCAAACATACACTGTGTACGACATACACTGCTCTGTCCACTTCCTGAGGGCACCAGGGGCTCGGCGGGCTTGAAGTGAACCTTCTAGAGACACAAAGTTCTTTCAAGGTGTATGCTCATGTTATGTCTCAGTCCTGGTGGCGGCAGCTATCATGTACTAGAAGGTGGCCCCATATGGTCCAACTGCCAGAAGGAACAAGTTTCCCTGGAGATAAGTCAAAACTGTGTACTGGTTCCTCCTTCTTCTAATCATATTCCCCAGGGGAATAGAGGAGGGCAGAGCAAGCCTTCAGCAGAGCCTCAGAACATTCTGAGGGTGACAAGGTAGATGAGTACTTGGAGAGAAAGCAGACCATGATTTACTGTGGCAGTCAGGAGTTAGAGCCCTTTCTGGACCAACGGAATATAAAAACAAGTTCAGTCAGAGATGGGGGGAGGTGGAAATACTACTGCTGAGCCCCCGCTTTCTCCCCAGACAGGTGTAACTTCTACCTATGAGCACTCTGATGGACTATTTAGGGTTTTTGGAGAACGTTAAAATTCATCAGATCTAGGGGATTTTAAAAACGTTTATGGGGCAGGAGAAAGAATGGGCAGAGTGAGCTCAAATAGAACCTACATTTTCTCTTGACCATTCGAGCGGTGAACAGTTATCTTGACTGGTGAGGACCAGGTCACAGTCTCAGTTATTTTCCATTCACTGAACCTTGACCTTGCTTACTTTAGAAGAGGGTCTGAGTATTGGTTCTGGTTCACGTTGTTCCCCCATCTGGGAATCTCACCTGTCACTGAACCAACTATCGTCATGGATTCCTAAGCCTCGGTCAAGTATACTCTAATAAATTGACATCCCTGAACTCTGCCCGAAGAAAATTTTTCAATTTCTGGAAACAGCCTGTTTCTAATCTGTGACTGCTGTCATCTTCAACCATCTTCATCTGTTCTGCTATTAACTAGTTTCTATAGTAGTGTGGCATACTAGATAGTATCCTGGACTCGGGAATGAGGAAGACCTGGATTCAAATCCAACTACCTATGAGGCAAGTCACCTAACTCCCTCAAGCTTCATTTTCCTCATATATAAAATGGGGATAATACGACCCTCACTTCCAAAGTTATCGTAAAGATCAAATGTATTAATATACGTAATGTGTTTTGCAAATTCTAAAACCTTATTCAGTAAAGAGCTGCTATTATTCTAACGGCAGATTACCCCAAGTCTCTCCAATTCCAATCTTACTAGACCACCCTGGATTCTCTTGAAAATCTCTAGCCTCCTTTGTTATACTAGCATCTCCAGGGAACTATTTCATTTCAGATAAGACTGTCATAAAAGAAGAGCACTCCTCTATCAAAATTGGAGCCAAAATGACAATATTCCCAAATCAACTTGTAGACTTGTGGGAGGCTGATCAAATTCTGAGAGGCTGCCTGACATAGAGAATACTGCCTGTGACACAGTGCCTGGATGGTCCTGGGCAGGTCTACCTAACCATGAGGCCCTAGGCTAATAACTCTTCAAAAGCTGCAGAACAGATAGCAGAACTGCTATTTGAAGTGGTAGAGGAAGCTCCCTTCACTGAGGAAACAAGTCCTGGCCACAAAAAAATCAAGTCCCAAAGATCCTCGGTCCCTTTTTGCTGCCTTCCTTCTCCCTCAACATTCTGCGCACCAGAGTGAGCGGGCTTCTGTCTAAAAGAAGGCTGTCTGCCTTGGTCAAGATCTTAGCTTATCTGAAGAGCTAGACCCTATCTATCCTCTGAAATGTCAGCATTTCCACATCCAAACCACCTTGGCCACATCCAGGGCCTCTCCTTGTCAGTGACAAGCAAGGTCTCAGAAAGGGGATGAGGCACAGGGGGGGCTGCCTGTAACTACTGGAGTGGAAGGTGGGGGTGGAGGGAAAGGGGAAGCTGTGTATCGTTTTTACACCAACAATAACCCAACCCCCTTCCACCCCATTCCAAAAGACTGAACACACCTACTCTATGAAATCGCAATACCATTTGCAAAAAAAAAAAAAAAGTATATATATATATATATATATATATAAAGAAATGAAAGGAGAAATTGATCCTTACAGCCTCCTTGACCAGTTTTCTACTGGATTCTACCACTGCTTCTGTGAGAGTAAACTCCGTTTTAATGGTCTCCAGCACATTGATAGCGGATTCCAGAGGTGTGAGTTCAGCCTCCATATCAAAGGAACAGTCTAGGATAAAGAGAAAGATTTTTCACTTACAGCTGTTTTCTATGGATCTGAAAGCTAGGGCAGGAAAAAAATGTCTAAAAGAAATCATATTTACTGGTTATATATGGAAAACAAACATGGAATTAAACTGCTAGAAATCAGCAATTTGTTGGAAGAACACATATTGTTTGGAAAATATAGTCATAGTATGATGTGACAGTCCATTAATACTAAAGAAATAGGAAGAACACATGCCTCAAGGATACCAGTTAATCCCAGAATCCATACTGACTTTCTTACTACAAAGGTATGCACCTGACCCCAGCCTCCAGGTAGAGGCCAGAGTCAGTTTGCTATGTAATTCTGAATTTCATTTAAGAACATACACTTGGTTGGTTCAACTTTGAAAGACTCATCAACTATATGACCAACACAATACGTAATTTCAAAGGACTCAAGATGAAACATGCTACTGAGAAAATCAAACTGAGTTTTATTGATTGCTTTTATTCTATAACTGATTCTATTCTCTATCACCATTCTGTGTAACTGACTTTGTCTTTAAATTCCGTTCAGAAATTCACAGGTCCAAAAGTTCAGTCTTCTTCCCTAAGTTAGATTTTTAAGTTCAGTTTCCCTATTCAAATAGTTTAATTAAAAGAAGCCTGCTATCTTAAGTCTAAGAGTTCAGTTTCCCTATAAATCATCTTTAATTGAAGAAAACCTGTAATCTCTACACTGCTGGCTGTCCTTGGACAATGAGTGGAAATGTGTTATCTCTTAGGGTCAGAAGTTCAGCTTTCCTGTAAATCACTCCCTATCAAGGAAGTCTTATCTCTTACTCCACTAACAAGCAGATGGACTCTATCAATCAACCTTTCCAGACAGTAGGATGGAAGGAAGGGTTGTTGCTAGCCCCCAACGTCCAACCGATCACATTGTTTTTGTCGCCTGTGATGCTACAGGCTTTGCAACCAATCATAATGTTTTTTGCTGCCTATGAAGTGGTTTACTATTTTTTTGGAGGTTCCTCCTGTCTATAAAAGAAGGCTGTATTCCTCGGTCGAGGTCTTAGCTTATCTGAGGAGGCTAGACCCTATTTATTGGCAAATTCGTGCTTTGTCAATAAATTGAGGTGCTTCAAATGTTGTGCCTCAGTTTACTTTCATTACACTACACCACCTGACATGACAGGTGATACAATGAAGATTGAAACATTTTCTCCCCAAGTTGGAGAATTTGTTTTGAAGACAAGACACAATAGGATTAACATGGGTTTTATTTTTCTTGCTTTCTCAGGTGGGGCATGGGCAGGGAGAAAATGTAAAGCTGAAAATTAAAAAACAGAAACAAAAAAACAAACCTTGGTCTGTTTTTCTTCATCACTAACACCAGAGGCAGGACTTTTAAGAAACAGATCAGAGGACGATTAAAATCTAATTTAAAAACTGGGAGCATACCAAAGGCAATGATATAAACCACCCCCACACGGCACCTTAGCGTCTACAGTACTCTGAGATGACTTAACTCATGACTGAAATTAAAAGAGGACTATAAATTACTCCACAGAAAAGACAAATAGCCCAAAAAGTAAGCAGCTCTCCATACCCAAATTCTCCCCCTCTTCTATACGCGATAGACACTGCATAATCCGCAGCAGCCGGGAGATGGTGTGCTCCTTCCCCAAGGGCCGTACAAGCAAAGCTGGAAAACAAGACCAAGCTGGGCTAACGGGCTGTCTGGGATGGCCCCTGGTGTCCCCCCACCCCTGGGGTGGTGTGTAGGGCTGTCCAGACCTGCTTTTGCATCCCTCTCTAGCGCCCCCCCCCCGTGGGGCTACACAGACCTCCCACTGATATTACGCCCCCGCCCTCCCACCCCACCCCTAGATGCTGCCCACACCTGCTGCATCTTCTCCCCTCCGGGCCAGGAAGCTACCCGGAGCTGTGCACATCTGCTGCCACACACCCGCTCCCCCCACACCATCCAGCCGGGGATGCTACTAGGGCTTATTCACACCTGCTGCGCCCATCCCCCTATGCTGCGCGCCCGACTCCCCCCATCCACCCCGGGATGCTGCGCAGGGGAGCCCACACTTGCTGCGCCCATCTCCCTACACTATGGGTCCGACCCCCCCCACCCTGGGTTGCTGCGCGGGGTAGCCCACACCTGCTGCGCCCCCCCATCTCCCTACACTGTGGGTCCGACCCCCCCCATCCGCCACCTGCTGCGCCGTCTCCCCTCCACCCCCCTCCCCCGCTGCTGCGCCTCCCCACCCACCCGGGATCCCGCGCGAGGTCCTCCACACCTGCTGCGCCCCGCCCCCACCCCCGCTGCGCGCCCCCCGCCCGCAGCGCGCCTCCACCCGGTCCTCACCCTGCATGATGTCCCGGATCTGCCTGAAGTCCCCGTACCGGCCGCCCCGAAAGGCCCGCAGCGCCTCGTGGAAGTAGAACTTCAGCACCCAGCGGTTCACCGCCTCCTCCAGCCGCGCCTCGCCCACCCCCCGCTCCCCGTCTCCCCGCAGGCCCGACTCGTGGCGTCCGCGCCGGGCCCGCCCCATCCTCCGCGACGGCCTGCGGCTCGCGGCCCGCCCGTGCCCATCGTGGCTCCCGCTGCTCCCCCCAGGCATCGCGGCGCGGCGAGGCCAGCGAACGCGAACTAGCCCGGCCAACCCCTGCGCCCGCGCGCCGCTCGCCCGCGCGCCGCCCGCCAGACGGACAGCCCCTCCGCCGGCAGTGACGTCAAAAACGCCCGCCCCGGGTGTCGGAAGTGGCGCCCTCAGGGTCCGCCCCCGCCGCCGGGACCAGGGGAAGTCCCGCAAACCACAATCGGCCGGCCCGGGGAGAGAGAACTACGAGTCCTAGGGTGCTTCTCTGGCCTTCGTCACAATTCCAGGAGGCCTGAGCCGCAGAGCTTGCTGGGAATTGAAGTCCCCACCGGCCTCTCGCCTCCTGAGGCCTAGCGCTCCCTGGGAACGCGCACTGGAAGGGAAGCGGGGCTTAAAACGTGTGATGGTCTGGTATAAAGGCCCAAGGACTGGCTGCGGAGGCAGCAGGCCTTCCTAATCGCGGGCCTCTTCCCCGTTTCTTCCCTATGAAGAAAAGAAGGGCTTTACGATTAGAACATCTCCAATTTAGACCCATCTCTGAAGCCTTGCCCGGGGACAGGTCGCCTCCTCACGTCCAGGGAAAAATGGCGGCCCAAACAGATGCTGTAACATATATCCCTAGGCAGTACAGCCACAACTGCAGCCAACAACAAACGTCTGGGTGTTGTGGATGGTGAATCTGGGTGGAAGCTTCAGTGAGGTGACTCAGGTGATGAAGGAATTAGGGTTGGTGCTTATATAATAAACGGCCTCCCCGCCTCTACAGCTCCAGAGATCCTGCTTGGCCATTCAAAAGTTTGAGCCTTACCTCTTGCCACGTTTTGAAAGGTTTTAACACTTAAACAGAGGAGTTTATTTTTAATTTTAGAGGCAATAAATAGAGTCACTGGAGTTTGTTGACTAGGAAATGTCACAGTTGGATTCGTTCTTAAGCAAAATCACTTTGGTAGCAGTGATTGCTCACTATCCTCTCTCTATTCTTGACTTGTCATTCACTCTCCCTCACTCCACATACACAATAAGTTGCCAAATTAGTCCATTTCTACCTCCACAACATCTCTCATATCCCATCCCTCCTCTCTACTCACTCTCTACTCTTAGTATAGGTCTTCATCACCTCTTGCACTAATTATGCAACAGACTCTTAATTGTCTCCCAGCCTCAACTGTTACAAGTGCAATCCATCCTCCAAACTGCTGCCAAAGAGTTTTTCCTTAAACCTAGATCTTAATCATGTCACTCCCCTATTCAATAAACTCCAATGTCTCTCTATTGCCTCTATCATGAAATATAAAATACTTTCTTTAGGTTTTCTCTGAGGCTCTACTTATAGTTGTAGACTTACTCTCTTCTGCTGAGATTGTTTCTCAAACATCTCAGGACCTATGAAATCTCTGTCCACTGTATAATGTCTTTTATTCACTCATACTTACCACTTCAGTTCTTAATCTGGGACTCTGTGCTGGGGCCAGGCTCCTCTCCCCTATCCTTCTCCATATTTGGATGGGATGGTCAGACGCTGTGTTGTGGGAACCTCTATTCCCTGTCACTAATTTTCATTTGCCCTGGTGTGTCTGCTATCAGAGCATCGCTAGGTTTATATTTGAACACCCTCTTCTCTCCAGATTTTTAGAACACCTTTCTCCTATTATTTTCAGTTCCTCCTGATGATTTTTTTTATCTTCATGCCCTTTTTTTGGGGGGGAGTCTTAAACTCTTTAATTCCTTTAAATGTATCATTTACCAACAGGAGGACATCTCTCACTTTATGTTTCAAGTATTTCTTTTTCTATCTCTGTTGCTTCTGCTACCTTAACTCTTTCAGTTAATGTCTTAGAATTGATTTTATTGCATTAATGCTTTGCTTGTTTTTTTGTATTTTTGTTGTTGTTCAGTTATTTCAGTCATAGCCAACTCTTCGTGACCCTATTTGGGGTTTTCTTGGCAAAGATACTGGAGTGATTTGCCATTTCTTTCTCCAGCTCATTTTACAGATGAGGAAACTGAGGCAAATGGGATTAAGTGACTTGGCCAGGGTCACACAGCTAGTAAATGTCTGAGGCCAGATTTGAATTTAGGTCTTCCTGACTCCAGGCTCAGTGCTCTATTCACTGAGCCACCTAGTTCCCTCCTAAAAACAGGATATATACAGGGTAAATTGGAAAACTCATTGACTGATAATTTATGACACTTTAAGCACTTGCAAAGCACTTAAAAATATTATCTCATTTGATCCTCACAATAACTGTGGTAGATGGGTGCTATCTTTATCTCATTTTACAAATAAGGAAACAAAGGCTGATAAGGGTTAATCGATTTGCTCGGAGTCACACAGCTAGTAGTGTGAGGCAGGATTTGAACTCAGGCTCTCAGTCCAGTTCTCTATCCACTGTACCACCTAGAGAATCTAATAATATTTTCCTTCCCTCTTCCTACCCCACCTTCTTCTTTCCCTAATTCTTCTGTCATCCCTACCACCACTACTACTTCACTTTATCAGCACCCATCACTCGTTCCATTTCTTTTCTATGCTGTAATATCCCCTGTACTAAGACTCCAGACACTTGGGGAATGAAGGACTAGTCAGGCAGGCTTGTTTCTGTTGCACAGCACTCTGGGTAGTATGTGTTTGCTATAGTACTCCTCTTACCTTCACCTCCTCCCATTCCACATGTATTTCGCAAATATGTATGCATCTCATATCTTTATCACTTCCTACCTCTTGGAAGGACCAGTTTGGAATTTCAGTGTTGTACTTGGTCTCAAAGTTTGCCCTCTAGAGGATGGCAAAAATAATACTAGTTTTTACCTAAACTTTATCCTTCATTTTGCAGAAGGGGAAGTGAGACCCAGAGAGTTTTGACATGAATACACAATGTTACATCTAGTGGTGTACCAAACCAAACAGCAAGGGCTTTCTTGACACAGCCACACAGCCCCAAACAAGTCATTACATGTCCATTTTGGGATAAATCACAAACCCTTATTATTATTATAATTATTTTTAGAAACCCTTACTTTTAGATTATTTTTTAAGATTATTTTTAGATTATTACTTTTTTATTATTACTTTTAGAAACCCAGAAGTAAAAGCCAAACAACTCCCTACACACACACACACACACACACACACACACAAAACTAAACAGTTCCTCATAGTATGAGAGTGTCTTATTCAACTCAGATCTGTAATAACCAACTTTTTTTTTTTAAAAGAAAAATCAGCAAAAACCTGCCCCTTTTGGGAGTAGCTAGGTGGTGACTGTTTCGGCAATTGGGAAGCTAGGTGGCGCCATAGTGCCATTGAGTGCTGGGGGCCTGAAGTCAGGAAGACTAATCTTCCTGAGTTCAAATCTAGCTTCAGCCTTACTAGCTGTGTGACTGTTTACCTCAGTTTCCTTATCTGTAAAATGAGCTGGAAAAGGAAATAGCAAACCACTCCAATACCTTTGCCAAGAAAACCCCAAATGGGGTCACAGTCATACATGACTGAACAACAACAAATACAACAACATACATTCTCTTTAATTAGATTACAAGATCCTAGAGGTTTAGGGCTTCCATAGACACTAAGTATACTATGTGATAAGAAAAAGATAACAGGGTACCTGCTGGCTACAAAGTTTGCTAAGCTCTGGAATGTGTGTTTGGCTGAATTTCGGGCTGGGCCTGTGACAGGCCAGATTCTTTAGTTTCACCCACACCCTATCTGACTTCTTTCCCAGCCCTTGCCTCAATTTACACTCAAATCAATAATTCCCTGTCTACCCACCCATGGGAGTGGGAAAGTCTACACCTACCTTCCACACCCTATGCGCTGTCCTAAATACAGCAGCCCTCCCACAGTGCTAGTACCCAGCTTCCTGCCATATACACAGGATCTGCTTCACCACTATTTGGTGACTGATGACTTTTCAATTAGGATACAATTACACTCACCCTTCTAATGTGGTTTAATGTAGATTTTACTTGGAAACAGAAGCATAGGTATCTGAGGCCTTTTCTGATTCTGGACTTTATGATTCAGATATCCAGATTTCAATTAAAACATGTAGAGTACTCACTGCCATTGATTTTTTTTAATTGACCTGAAAGATTAAAATATCCAGCAGGGGGCAGTTGAAACTCAACTATGGACTCTGTAGGGCAAGAGCAAACTTAATATTATTATTTCTGCTTCCTGTCCAAAATACCAAGATCCCCAGATCAGAGATGAAAGAAAAAGCCATGACTGCATAGTTTTAAGTGGGATGGGTTTTGTTTTTTAACAAAGCATTTCCGCTGCCTGTGTTTCTTTATAAACATTACTAAGCTTCCACAAGTAGAGACAAATCCCAGTCAGGGTCATAGTAGACCAGCTACCCAAGAGCCTCCAGCACCTTTGCAGACTTCAGTGGGCAAAAGAAAGCTATGTTTCTTTCTGACACGATGGAATTTTTGTTTGAAAGGCATTTATTGCCAGTTTGTCCCTTCACGTAGAACAAAAGAATACATTTCACCATTTATTCATTTCACGGATGAAGAAAAGAAGAAGCATCCAAGTTTTAAAAGTTTATTAACTTGTGTGTAAAGGTCATACTGTCTGCTGTTTAGTCGTTACACACAAGCTTACGAAAGAATCTCTCCATGCTCAAGCCAAATTAAACAAGATGCAGTTATGGAGAAATAAGCACAAGTTAATATTTAGCCATGGACATTCTCCGGGTTCTTGTTTGCCCAGTTCTTTCTCAGTAAGAAAGGTTGCAGTAGATCAGCAAGCCTTTGATTCATCCATGAGTACGCAGGACTCTTGGCCTTCTGGCCTCTTTCTATTTTCTTTTTGAAAATCTTGAACCACGCATTCTCTAAGGATATAAAGTTTTCCACTAACTTTCAGTGCCAACATTGTACAGAACATTTCATTACTAATCATACAAAAATTATTAAGTTCAGATGTCCATATAAAGATGTTTGAATTCATCTCACTTTTCTTCCTAAAGAACTATCATTCTAACTATTATTGAATAGCTTGAAAAGCATGA